CGGGGGGGGGGGGGGGGGGGGGGGGGGAGGGGTAAGGCAAGCCCGAGCTCCCCCGCTTGGCCTCGACTCCAGAGATGAAATTTCACAGACACTTCTGACAGAATCCTATCGATGCAGAAGCAAAGAGAAAGCGTAGAGATTTGCATTTTTCGTATCGTCACCGCTAAAAAAAAAAAGCTGGCGAAACGCGGGCGAGAGAGGCGCATCGGCCATCGGACACCACGATCGCGGCGATCTCGAGGAACTCGTTCGCTTCACACGATAGAGCCGATCGAGCACTGTCGCCTGTGCGCAGGGACCGTTGCACGATCCGGTTTCCGTGCCGTCGGGGATCGTTCGCGCGAGGATGCGGGACGTCGCGTCGCGATCGGACGAGGCACGAGGATATCCGACGCCCGAACGATTTCCGGCGACAAGGTGTCGTCGTTTCGCAGATATTGCAATTTCGGAAACGATCGTGATGCGGGTCGCACGAGAGGAACGGACGGGACGAGATGGGACGGGACTCCAGGAAGTCTGGGGGGACTGGGAATCCGACCTAGAGATCCGATCCACGACGATATCCACTCCGTTCCGCCCCCGTCGTTCCTGTCCTTCACCGGAACGGACGTATTTTCAATCCTTCGGAAGCAATTATTTCTTCCCCCCCCAGAAGAAAAAAAAATTGGAATAACGGTGTTGGATAGGGAGTTCACTGGTAGTTGTCCCTTCGTTTCTCCCATAGGGGCGAATGGATTTTTCTCATCGAGCGACCCCACGAATTCGAAGAATCACTAAGCTCGTGATGGACTTGTTTCCCGGAATGCAGTCGTTCGTTCGGCCCCCTGCCAAAACGATCGAGATTGCGTGAAAGAAGTCGAACCGAACGAACGCGGATCCGCAACGGCGCCTCTTTTTCGAGACGAGACGAAAAAGGTGCGAGTTCGAAGGAGAACATTACGGATGCCGTTCGAGTCCTCGTCGCCCGATTCCGTCTCTTGCTCTTTGGGTTCCTCCCCGACGCCCTCCGACGACGGGAGTTCCTGGACGATCTGCGGAGAATCATTCTCGACCTCGAGCCTCGGCTTCTCTTCCGGTTGCTGCTGGTTCTTCTTCCCTTTCCCTCTCTGGAAGAACAAGCACTGGCGTGGAGTAGAGGGAAACGATCCACACGTCGCTCCTTCGCGTCGAGCGGATGAACCGTTTCGAGTCCTCGCGCCATCGTCTCGCGTGAGAACTCCGACGGTGCAGAAAGCTCACCGGGGGAATAAAAAAATCTGTCTCCTTTCTCCTTGCGGTTTCGAACATGGATTTATTTCTAAAATTGGCCACGCGAACGCGGTCTCGCATCCCGATTCCGACACGTCGTCCCGGAAAAGCACGATAAGAAAAATGTCACGTTTGGCTCAGAAACGGGACGAAAATAATACTATTTTATAGATCGAGTTCATCCTTCCGACCGGATTCAAAATTTATTTGCACCTGCATTCATTTATCGCATCGAAATCGCGTTTCGACTTCGTATTTTCGGTCGACGATGACACGACGGTGGCGCGAACGAAAAAGAGAAAAGGAGTTTCCTACCCGTTTCGCGTCTGAGGGCTGAGAGACGAGGAGGCAGAGGAGGATCACCACCGCCGCCACCGTCCCGAATCTCGATCTCCTCACCATCTTCGGTTACTCCTCCTCAGAGAGGACCGAGAGAAACACGGAGCACGCAGGAGCGGAGCGAAACGGTCTGAAGGACCTTCGACGGGGCGTCTGCTTCCTTCGTCGACGGCTGCTCGACGACGAGGAACATAAACAAGATGCGCGAAGGAGGGAACGAAGTTCCCGGGTCGTCGTCGTCGTTCGTCCGAATGGGAAGCTTCGCGCACGGTCGGTGCGACTGCGGTGGAAGGAACGGAATGACAGGGAACAGATGCGAGGGAGAAGGGGGGAGAGGGGCAGGAAGGAACCGAGGGGGAGGAAAGAAAGGAAAAGAAAACAAAACCAGCGAGAGTGGGAGCGAGTGCATCCGCTCCACGAACACGGGGTCGGCGAGGAAGACGGGAAGGACGGGAAAGACGGGGGAATAGACGCGATCGGGAAGAACGGGAGATTTCCTCCGCGAGGCGGGGTCGAATTGCGTTTCGCGTTCGCAAGCCAGATGCAGCACGAGTCGTTCGGAGCCTGATTTCACTCCGGTTTAGGCTCCGAGAGAGAAAAGCCTAAGCGCGGAGAGAAGGACGAAATCGCTCGCATCAGCCCTGCCGCGTTTCGAGACGCCGGAAACGAATCGAATTCGTGCACGCTCGAGTCTTCACGGCCTGCCACCGTAAGATGGAAAAGGACAGGGAAACGACTCCCCTTCCTGGCTTACGAGCCTTTGGGGACGTGGAGGATGATGCAAGGTGATGTCGAGGGATGTAGGGGGTGATGGATGCCTGGGGATGTAGGGGGTGATGCCCGATGACGCCTCCCTTCCTCTCGCCGAGGAAAAAACAAAGGACCTTTCGGCATCCGTTCCGTCGTTTGGAAGGAAACGCTAGGAGTGGCATGCGATCGCATGCGACCCGACCCTTATCGGATCGCGGAGAAACTTTCGTCCTCTTTCGCACCGATGTCGAATTCCATCTTCTTCGGGAGCGAGACTCGAGAGGTCGGAGGCAGACGGAAGGAAATTCTGGATTCCGTCAGCCGTGGACGCCGTGACGATGCGCGGACGCGATCTTCGCTCCGTGCGATACGGACGCTGATTTCGACCGCGATCGGATCGTCGCGTTCGTCTTCGCCTCTCCCGAGTCGTTTTCTCTTCGATCTTTCGTTCCGATTCGACGCCTCCGGGAGCGACTCCGGCAGCGATCCGCGTCTCCCGCGTATCGATCTGCGAGAGGCAGATTCGAGCTCGGACTCGCTTCCGCTTCCTCGAGACGAACCGAGCGTCGAGGACCTCGGACGGAAGCGGAAACGAGAGAAGAGACGCGCCCGAAAACGAGCCGTCGAAAAGAGAGCTCGGAATCGCGGTCGGGGGATCGAGAGCGGCTGTTGCGGCCGGAGGGCGGGGCATCGGGGACGATCTGCCCCGGGCCTCGCGTATCAAGGGGCCTCTGCAAACCTCTGGGCGGCCCTGCTCGGCCGCGTTCCTCCATGGCACTCGGCGACCCAGAGCCCTCGTGCCGCCATCGTCTATCCTCGTGCCTCGACCGTCCATCTTCGATTCTTTCGCGTCCGATTCGTCTCTTGGAACGGGAGGAAACGAACCGAACGTCGCAGAACTCGAAAGGACGTAAACGTCTGTGTGACGATCTCCCATGTTTGTACTTTATTTTGATATAATGACAGCTTTCATTACTTTGTTCAGTCCTGATTTATTACAAAAGTAAATGTATCAAATATAAATGTGACACCCTGTACATTGGGCCACCTCTGGGTTCCGGAAATTTGCCCCACACTTCATTTTCGATTATTGAAGTTATATTAGCAAAAAAAATGAAATTCACTACATTTTCATTAAGCGAGGAAAGGTGAGGAATTTGTGTTAATTGTCCAAAGATTTAGAGTTCGTATTCTCGACACCTTTGCCACCAGTTCTTCATTCTTGCAATTCAATGACCTGCTGACCTCCCTCTCGATAGAGTATGGCTAGTCCTGTCAGGCGTTCTCGTGACATGCTTCATCTTAGAAAAGTTATAAATTGTTTCAGTTTGGAGAAGCTTCTTTCTTCAGATGCAACTCTCGCTGGAACTGTGAGTAGCACTCAGAGAACGATGGACACGTAAGGATACACGGGCCTGACCACTCTTGTGAAAGAATCACGGAGTTCCAAGAACATCAAGTGGCTCTGGTGGAAGCATAGCCAGATTGCGAAGCTCATCGACGAGGTCGTTGAGTTGTCGAGGTTAATCTTGGTATAAGGTGTTCAAACTTTGCACGGGTACCATCGATGATTGGATTGCTACCCATTCATAATTAGTATTGATAGTATTGTACATTTTCCCGACATTCCGCAGATACTGCAAACTGGTCTTAATATGGACACTTCTGTCCATATTATAAACTTGGGATTTTAAGAATTAATAAAGCTTAATAGCAGCTAAAACAGCTCTTTTCCGTAAGTCAAAAGCAGTAGGTCACACTCTCATAGTATCGATTCGTGCCTTGACTTAAGGTGGCTATGGGTATTTGCGGCATGGCCGCAATCTAAAGTATACTTTAATCATTTGCGTATATTTCCATACGTCCACGTTTTGCTGAATTCAAATATGGTAACCCATCAATGACTCGGTAATGAATATACAAGACATTTCACATGATCAAGGGAGACGAGCGAGGGAAAGGGCCAGTGGCGTATTTTACGGGGAGGCAGCCGCCCCCCTGGCGCCCCTGGGACAGGGCTTGGCGCCCCCTTGGAGGTAATGTAATTTCCCCACCTGATATCGCTAGGGTAGGGTATAGCGCCCCCGTGCTGTTGCCCTGCCCCCCCTGACCCCTCAGCCAAAATACGCCCCTGGAAAGGGCTGAAAACGAGATAAGACCGGATAAGACCCTTCTATGCGGACGTCCTCACTTCTCGAGTACCTTCAAGCGCAAGGATTTCATGCGGGAAGGATGGAGGAATTAAAATAAATAAGCAAAAATACTTTCCATGACGGATTTCGCCCAACTCGGCCTTCTCCAGAGCTGGAGTGGGGAGACTTAGGAATATTCTCCGTCACGTGCAGAGCCTGGATCCCTTTCGGAATAACTCGCAGCGTTATAAAGTTAATTCTCTTTCTCTTTCGTTCTTCCTATCTTACTTATTTCTTCCTCTTGGGGATGGGGCCCCCTAAATTCTGCGGGAGCTCTCCGCGGCCGCAGGGGCATTCGCGCCGTCCCTGTCTGGAATTGACTCAGCAGAGTTAAAAAGAAAATTAATTCTGCGGGAACGTTTGCTTCATTTCCCCACGTTTCTCATTGAAGCATCATCCAACAATCAATACGGTCTCTAATTGCACCAGGAAACCGTCAACGTGTATCTGAGAAAGATGACCGCATCTCGTTGGTAAGATGCTCATCAAGCTTTTTGCAAGTCCGAAGGTCTAGAACCTCATCTGATTTCATCTTCGTGTCAAAAATTTCACTTCTTAGCCTAATGGTACAACAAGGATGCTAAGAATCAAGATCCTTTGACTCTTATCAATTACCTATCACAAAGTCACTTTTTACTAGGGATGTAACGATATTAGAATTTTCCGATATTCTGATAATACGATATTTTGTATTCCGATATTCGATAACCGATATTATGGGGGGAAAATTTGAATGAAGCTTTCAAACAAGAATCCAAGAAAAGAAAGAGGTCAAGGAAACTAGTTTTTTTTTCCTTCTGGTTTATTGCTTCCTACAAACATTTCTACAACACTGGAGGGTGTAGTTTCACTTAGTACTCGAAGTTGAAGAATTTTAAGTTGCTT